AAATTTTAGGATTGTTCTGTTTCTGTGAACAATGCCATTGAAATTTTGATAGGGATTACATCGAATATATAGATATAGTATGACATTTTAACAACATTAATTCTAATCCATGAACATGGAATATCTTTCCATTTATTTGTGTCTTCTATTTCTTTAATGTCTTGTAGTTTTCAGTATACAGGTCTTTCACCTCCTTGGTTAAGTTTATTCGTAGGTATTTTAATCTTGTTGATGCAGTTGTCAGTGGGATTGTTTTCTTAATTTCTTTTTCTGATGGTTCATTATTAGTGTATAGGAAAACAACAAATTTTTTTGTATTGATTTTGTATCTTTCAACTTTGCTGAATTTGTTTATTAGTTCTAACAGCTTTCTCATAGTGTCTTTAGGGTTTTCTATATATTAATACCACCGTCTGCAAATAGTGACACGTTTACTTCTTCCTTTCCTATTTCCTTTTTTTTTTAATTGCCTAATTTCTTTGGTATTGTGTTGAATAAAAGTGGCAAGAGTGGGCATTCTTGTCTTGTTCCTGATCTTAGAAGAAAAGCTTTGAGCTTTTTACCATTGAGTATGTTGTTATCTGTGGGCTTATCATACATGACCTTTATTATGTTGAGATATATTCCCTCTATACTGCTTTGTTGAGAGGGTTTTTTTTTTAATCATAAAAGGGTGTTGAATTTTGTCAGATGCTTTTTGTGCATCTGTTGCAAAGATCATGATTTTTATCCTTCACTTTGTTAATGTGGTGTACCACATTGACTGATTTGCAGATGTTTAACCATCCTTGCATCCCTGCAGTAATTCCCACTTGATCATATTGTGTGATTTTTTAAATGTATTGTTAAATTATGGCTTGCTAATATTTCATTGAGGATTTTTCCATCTATGTTCATTAAGGATATTGACTTGTAATTTTTCTTCCTTGTCTGGTTTTGGTATCAGGGTAACGCTGGTTTTGAAGCATTCCCTTTTATTTTTTTGGAATACTTTGAGAAGGATTGGTATTAATTCTTCTTTGAATGTTTGGTGGAATTCACTAGTAGAGCCATCTGGTCTGGACTTCCATTTGTCGAGAGCTTTTTGATTAAAGATTCAGTTTCCTTACTAGCAAAATGCTTTATATGAGTACAGCTACTTGCACTTTCTTTTGGTTTCCACTTGCATGGAATATCTTTTCTCATCTCTTCACTTTGAGTCTGTGTGTATTTTTACATCTAAAATGAATCTCTTGTAGACAGCTTATAGATGAGTCTTGGTATTTTATCCATTTAGCCACTCTATGTCTTTTGATTGGAGAATTTAGTCCATTTACATTCAGAGTAATTATTAATAGGTATGTGTTTATTGTCATTTTGTTAATTGTTTTGTGGCTATTTTTGTGGTTCTTCTCTTGTGTTATGTTTATATTCTCTTTTTATTTTTTGTGAATTTACTATAGGTTATTTCTTTGTAGTTACCATGAGGCTTACATATAATATATCTGCAACAGCCTATTTTAAGTTGATAACAACTTAAGTTTAATCCCATTGTAAATCTCAACATTCTTGCTCTTCCCCCTCATGTTTTGTTTTTGCTGTCACATTTTATATATTTTTTTAAAGATTTTATTTATTTATTTGATAGAGAGACAGCGAGAGAGGGAGCACAAGCAGGGGGAGTGGGAGAGGGAGAAGCAGGCCTCCCGCTGAGCAGGGAGCCTGATACGGGGCTCGATCCCAGGACTCTGGGATCATGACCGGAGCCGAAGGCAGACGCTTAACGACTGAGCCACCCAGGCGCCCCACATTTTATATTTTTTATCTTACATATCCCTTAATTATCATAATTATAGCTGTTTTTACTACTTTTGGCTTTTAACCTTCATACTGTCTTTATAAGTGATTAATCCACTATCTTTACTATGTATTTACCTTTCCAGTGAGATTTATTTTCATATGTGTTCTTAGTACTAATTAGCACCCTTTCTTTTCAGCTTAAAGTCCTTTTAACATTTCTTGTAAGGCTGGGTTAGTGGTGATGACTCATTTAGCTTTAGCTTATCTGGAAAACTCTTTATCTGTTTTTCACTTCTGAGTGATAACTTTGCCAGGTAGAGTATTCTTGGTTAGCAAGGTTTTTTTCAGTCCTTGGAATATATCATGCCACTCCCTTCTGACGTGCAATGTTACTGCTGAAAAATCTGCTGATTGCCTTATGGGTGTTCCCTTGTATGTAGCAAGTTGTTTTTCTCTTACTGCTTTTAATGTTCCCTTCTCATCTTTTACTTTTGACATTTTAATTATAACGTGTCATGGTGTAGGTCTCTTTAGGTTCCTCTTATTTGGAACTTGCTGGGATTCCTGCATCTAGATGTCTGTTTCCTTCCCTGGGTTAGAGAAGTTTTCAGCCATTATATTTTCAAATAAAATTTCTGCCTCTATCTCTCTCTTCTCCTTCCTGGGGCCCTGTGGTACAAATGCTAGTCCATTTGATGTTGCCCCTTAAGTCCCTTAAAGTATCTTTACTTTTTGTAATTCTTTTTTTGTTTTTGATGCTTTGATTGGGTTAGCTCCACTGCCTTGTCTTTGAGTTGTCATCTGGTCTGCTCTTGAACCTTTTCAGTTCAGTTATTCTATTCTTCAACATTGTGACTTCTGTTTGACACTTTTTTTTAAATATTTTCCATCTCTTATTTGAAATTCTTACTGCATCCATCCATTCTTCTCAGTTTGGTGAGCATCTTTATGACCATTATTTTGAACTCTTTATCAGGTAAATTACTTATTTTATTAAAGTTTTTAATTCTGAGGTTTTATCTTGTTCTTCCATTTGGAACATATCCTCTGTTACTTCATTTTGCTTGACTCTCTTGATTTCTATACAGTATGTGAGATGACTGCTTCTCCCAGTCTTTCAAAGGAGTGACCTCATGCAGATGAACCTTGTCATTCAACCCTGTGTTAGCTCTTGATTGTCTCTTAAATCTTTGTGCTTCTGCAAGCTGCCCATTATATTCTTAATAGTTCCCAGTAAGTGAGGATGTGCCAAGATCTCTGTGTCCCAAATGGGGGGATCTCAACGCTTAGGTTCAAGCTGACTGGAAACCACATCCTCAGGTGTCAGCTTTTAAAAGTATGCAAATATATACAGTGCTGTGCATCACAAGTGGAAGCCCCACCGACCGCAAAAACTAGGTGATCTGGAGGTGTCTATTGGGTGACACCCACAGAGATTGGGGCTCCAGACAAGTGTATAAGCCCTTTCCTGGGTGATACTGATGAACTGGAGCAAGGCCAAGAGAGAGAGCCAAGATGGCACCCACAGCCTATGTTCCTTGAGAGTGCGCCATAGGCCTCTACATGTATGCCAGACCTGAAGCTTGCTCCTCAGGCTGAATCTCCAGGACAAGCAAAGGGGCCTCCTTCATAGAAGACTGAAGACTGTGCCTCAGTCCACTGTCTATGCAGTGTCCTGGGTTGATAACCTGCCAAGAACCATCTTTACAATTGCCACAGTCCCATGGGACCCAGAAATCCAAGCACCCCGAGCCACCATGTGATTAAGGAGTATCTACGGGGTGACAGCTGCAGAAACCAGGGCACCAGATGTGTGTAAATCTCCCCTCCAGGATACACTAGTGCTTTGGAGTATGTTAGAGGGTGAGCACAAGTCTCCAGAAAGGATTACAGCCAGCCCCAAGATGCCTGTTTAATTAAATACTGCCCCTCAGGCCTCAGTCATGATGATTAGCTTATAGCCCTCCTTCATTGAAAGACTGAGCCCCTCGGTTTGTTGCCTGTTGCTGTGCCCTGGGGGTAGTAGCTGTTTAAGAACTCTTTGTCCTTTGGTTACAGTCCTGTGGGACCCACAAGTGTAAGCCCCACTGGCCACCAGAGCCAGGCGATGTGGTGGTATCTTCTGGCAGCAGTCCCAGAACTCAGGGTGCCAGACAGAAGTATGAGCTCCTTTCTGGGTGACACCGATTATCATAGTCGTATGAGACCAGGAGTGTAAGCTCCCCTGGCCTCCAGATCCAGGTGATCAAGAGGTGACTCCTAGGTGGCAGCCAGAGAAATTGAGGCACCAGACACACATAAAAGGTCTTTAACTGGAGATTCTGGTGCACTGAATCCCAGCAAAGGGAGAGCACAAAGATAGCACCTGCCAGTCTCCATCCCCAGAGAGTGTTCCAGCAGGCTTCTACGTGTGTGTTAAATTAGATGTCTGTCCCTCAGGCCAGTGCTTTAATGGAAGCAGGTGAGCCTCCTTCACTTTAAGTCTGGGCACAGTCAGCTGCCTCTGAGCTGGGCCCTGGGGCAGGTCAGTTTCTCAGATCACTAGAGTCTTGTGGGTCTCAGGATGTGAGCCCTGTTGGTTTTCAAAATTAGATGTTTTGGGGGCACCTGGGTGGCTCAGTCGTTAAGCTGCTGTCTTCGGCTCAGGTCATGATCCCAGAGTCCTGGGATCGAGTCCTGCATTGGGCTCCCTGCTCCGGGGGAAGCCTGCTTCTCCCTCTCCCACTCCCCCTGCTTGTGTTCCCTCTCTCGCTGTGTCTCTGTCAAATAAATAAATAAAATCTTTAAAAAATAATTAGATGTTTTGAGGGCTCATATCTCAAAGTGTATGTCTTAGAAGTTGGGATGCTCAGTGTGGGGTTCGAACATTCCTCAGGGGGAAGCTCCAGGTTTTGAGTTCCCAGTTATAGGATACTGCACTAGGGGTGAGGTTTATGGGGAGACTGTATCCCAGCCTCTCCTACTTGCTCTGATGGTTTTCTTCTCATTTGCATAGTCATCAGTCAGCTAGCTTTTAGATTTTTCTAAGAGGAAATTATTTCATATGTTGCTATACAATCTGCATGTCCATGGAAGGAGGTGACTTCAGGATCTTCCTACACTGCCATCTTGAACTGGAACTCTAGATGCTTTCCTTAGCATGACGATATCTTTATTGTTAACTTTATTATTTCATCTTGATTATACAAAACACAATTAACTTCTAGTTCTTTATTCTCTAGCACATGATAGTGATGGAAGACATGCTGAAGGACTTTCTTCTCGGAGAACACCTATTATTGGTTGGTAACCAGGTGAGTTATGTGTGGCTGGAACTCAATTACTAATGAATACATGATAATAACAGCTTAAAAGTGGTAAGTTTTTTCTCCTTGTTGGAATATGTTTTTAGAGGTGATTCTTTTTTTCCAACTAAATGAGCACATTTTTTTTTGTGAGATTCTTTTTTCCAACTTTAATTAAGCACAAACGGTCTTCCACCTTCTAAAATTCAGAATTACCTCAGAGCTGAAATCACCATTCAATCTCCCATCAAGTTCTGTCTGTTCTGACTCATAAACATCGATTCTTCCTTCCCACATCTGTCAGCCTAGCCCAGCTCATCATCACCTATCACCTGGACTGCAGCAGTCCTTTGCTAATATAGCTCTACCTCAACCTTCCTTCCACTCTGATCTACTCTTCACTCTGCAGCCAGATTGATACTTGTCGAACTAAAATCTGACTCAGTCTCTCTTTTTTGCTTAAATTGGCTTCCCATTGCTCTTAGGTATAGTCTTCAATATGGCTAGCGGTGTCATGCAGGATCTGGCCTCTGCCCGCCTTTCTAGTCCTAAGCCTTGTCTCCTTCCTTTGTCTCACTCGGTAGTAGGTTGAGCCACTCTGAACTTCCTTCAGTTTTATCATCTCTGCCCTGATCCTCAGTGCATGCTCTTCTCTACATGGAGCACTCCCAGTCCCCTTCTCCACCCCCTTCTCCTAACTCCTGAGGGGTCTTCCCTTGTCCCTAGCTGAGTTAGGTTTCCCCTACTTTTACACCTTTCTATTTCCCTGTCACCACACTGGTCATATTACTCTGTTTACATATAGAATGATTGTCTTTCCAACTTATCTTTGTGATCCTCAAGGGCAGGGACCATAGTTCTCTTGCTTATCTCTGTATCCTCAGTTCCTAGAACAGTGTCTGCTACATAGTAGATATTCAGCATGTGTTTATGGAGGCAATGGATGGACATTTTCTACTTAGAATGTTCTGATAACGTTCCCCAGTTGAATTATCAGATTCATTAGTGAACAGCAACTTTGGTTTTTTAAATTGGTCTTAAATTAACAATAAACTTTCAGAAGAGTTTGGTCTTTATTTTTTCTTTTTTTTAACTTTTAAAAACAATACATATTCTTTATATATTTAGTCCTCAAACTTATAATTTAAAGTGTTGATTTTTTTTTTTTTTTTTTAAATAAAAATGGGCCAGTTGAATGTCTTACTGATTGAGTGCACAGGTTTGGAAGTTAGCTGGCTAGAGGTGTAGTAGGAACCCTTTCCTGGATGGCTGTGACTGTGGGCAAATTGCTTATCTTACAAGGCTCGGTTCCCTGATAGCAAACCTGAACATAAAAATAGCATGCACTCAGGTAAGAGCCATGTGACTCTGGGGACTGAGGAGAGCTATGCAGGATGAGGGTGGGGTAGAACAGAGGTTTGCTTCTACTTTATGATAAATGAAAAAGGGGCAGTGTGCTTTGAAATTATTCTAGAGCACTATACAGATGTTGGTGGGAAATCCAGTCCCAAAGAAGAGAACAAGATAGTAGGGCTGGGCAGTAGGGCAGAGCGAAAAGCCGCTACAGCTCTGTGGGTCCATGCCTGGACCCCAGCACTTGGTGCGGATAGGAGATCCATTGATTTTCAGGCTTGCCTCAGGTTGGCTCGGCAACCACTGGGGAGAGCTGGCAAGTTGAGTTTTCTCAGAAGGAGCAAGGCTGGGGGCATGGTTATCACAGGCATCTCTCAATCACCGGGTCACAAACTGCACCTTTCATCAGCAGATCACAGTGTCTTCCCTTCTTTTGTCCTTGTTCTGTCACCCTCCGCTTTGGAGAAAGAATAATTTACAGAGGGAGATTGTATTCAGTGTAAATTTGCTACGTTTAACTGGCCTTTTTCATATCAGAAGGGTCTTTTGTTCATTCATTAGAAACCTCTAAGACCATCAGTGTCATATAATAGTACCAATGTTGGAGGAACTTACAGATTTACTAAGTAAATTCTGCTCCTGTGTCCATTGAATTATCTCGTGAACAAGACTAACTCTTTTAGGCTGTTTGATGTCCTCCTGCCATTTGATGTCCTCCATTGTCTAATCCCACTGCATACAGCCTGTCTCATTCCTTCCCTCAAACTCTTGTTGTCAGATACATTTAACACTATTTTCCAAACCTATCTTCTTACCAATGTCTTATCCCAGTCTTTGACCTTACCAGCAAGCTCTCTTCTTTCCCTCATCTTTGCCTTTTGAAATTCTTCCAACTCCAGAGTGGCAATATACTCTCACTGACTGAATTCCTTATTTTGTAAATTTGCAACTGTCAGTGAAGGAAACAAATAAATTAGATAGAATCCAGGGAGTGCCTACTTAAGAGAATAAGAGAGTAATGGGCTTTTTCTTTATTCTTCTCTCTCTCTTTTTTCCCTTATCTGTAAAATGGTGGGATTGGAATTGGTATTTTGTAAGGTCCCTCTGGCTCTAATATTCTATAATATGCTTCTTTAATAAAGTTTTCCTGAACACAGGCCTGAAGCTTTGGCCCCATTCCCTGAGCTGTTATAGCAGCTCAGTTACTGATTTCTTTTGGCTTGCCTTAGACTTATGTATCTACCTGCCATCTCTCTACTAAACAGAGAGAGAACCCCTTGAGAAAAGCTTTAGTTATTTTTGACTAGCATGCAGTAGACATTCAACAAATGTTTGCTGAATAAATCGGAGCCCGTTCATCTTATAGATGAAATTTGGTACCCATTTACCCACCTCTCCTTGTTACCCCACCCCCAGCCCCCAGCCACTTCTCTACTCTGTTTCTGGGTTCAACTTCTTTTTTTTTTTTTTTAATTCCACATATAAGTGACACCACACAGTATTTGTCTTTCCCTCTCTGGCTTAGTTCACGTCTCACAGTGCCCTCAAGGTTCATTAGAGTTAGACTCTTGACTGCTTCCATTTGGTACGTACAAGGCAGTGTGAAGCCGCCTGCAGTATTTGTTGGCAAAGGCAGGGCAAGAACCCCACAGAGGTGTGTTTTGCTAAGGCTGGAATGGAGTTTCGTGTTCTCCTTCCCTGCGCTTGCCTCAGAGTTCTGATCTAGATTTCTCATTCAGGAATGTGTGCTTTTGCAGCCATAGTAACTCATCAGTAGCTTTGAAAATGCCTTGCTTCATTGATCAGTGGCATTTCAGCACCTCTCAATATTCTATGCACCTTCTCAACTGTGCCCTTATTTCTATCTTGTGAAACAAAATAACAAATAAAGGAAAAAAAGACAGGCAAATAGAGGTAGAGCTGGTAGGTTGAGGACTGCTGACTCTCATGGGACGATGTCACTGGTGTCTTCACTCAAATGCACAGTGACAAGTGAGAAAATGCCTATTTTAATCACATGATTTATTTTGTTTTTTTAAATTTTCTTAAAGATTTTATTTATTTGAGAGCGAGAGTAAGCAAGAGAGCGAGCGCACAAGCAGGGGGAGGGGCAGAAGGAGAGGGAGAAGCCAACTCTGCACTGCGCAGGGAGCTCACGCGGGGCTCCATCCCAGGACCATGGGATATGGCCTGAGCAGCCGCTTAACCGACTGAACCATCCAGGTACCCCCACGTGGTTTATTTTGAACCTAAGTAAACTATTTTTAGCAGTTGATCAGGCTCCTTTATTTCTCTTTCTAAAACGTTATGTGATGACTACTCAAAAAAGAAAAGAAAGAAATCAGAAGTATAGCTTTGGGGATTGAGCATTGGCAAAGAAGCCAGCAGTGGGTTGGTGTAATTACACAATAAAGTGGGATGAACGCTCTTAATACAAACTGTCTATAGATACATACAGTCTACCTGGCCTTCTGTTTGCAAACTAGAAACTGGCCGAAGTCCATGAAAGAAACTTTCTCATAGTTGAAGTTACACATTTAGAGATGTCTCAAAGGATTGCTCTATTATCAGGAGCAGCTTTTACAATGAGCAAATTCAAGAGTAAGTGGTAATCTTGACGTATCTCAAGGTTTATCATCTTTATAAGCCCAATCCCACCTTTTCTTTCCATATAATACTCTCTTTTCGAAGAACCTGATATTAGACAAGATTTTATAACTGTTGGGAAGCTGAGAAGAGTTCCATAAACATCACTTACCATAGCAAAATTAAGTAGGCCACATTTTATTTTGGTGAAGTAAAATTGATTTTTTTTTTTTTATCCTTTCAATTTTCTGTGTCAGATTTCATGGCACAGTGTGGCAACTTCCCAGCAAGAGAGGCAGAATTGCTGCCTGTCAGCCAAAAGGGATAGGTGCCTGAAATTACACACGTCTGATGGTCCCTTGTACATAAGCTGCATATTGTAGAACGACTTTCATATGCCTCTACATGCATTATTTTCCACTACTTTAATTATAACATCACATGTGCTTTTGGTGCAATTAGGAGTCCTCATGCTGCCTTTTTTTTTTTTTTTAAATCACAGCATGAGTTTCTATTTATTTTAGCTTTACTGAGAGGGAAGAAAAAGAAATGCCTATTTATTTTTGAGTTAGTGATGCTTCTTCTGTCCCAACTCTACTGGAGAATAAGCCTCTTTTCTTCCCATATTTTCTTTTCCTTTGATTTATAGAGCTGTATTCTGTTTGATACACAAAATATTGATTGTGAATGTTTGGAGTTATAGAATCAACCTGTAGGTGCATAATTTTTGTTGTTTAAAAACTCCGTAAGAATAAACTTACGATTTTATGTAAGGACGCTTGAATTTTGAGAGACAGTTGCATTTTATCACATATTTGAAGGAAGAATTATTCCAGCCATACAGTATTTTTAAAATGCTCAGGTATCCCCTTACATAAGAGTTATTTTTCTAATATGTAGTATTTTATTTTAGGGGATAAAAATTTAGATAAAATTGCAAAGCAAATCATCAAATTTTAATTTATATTAATGAGACATAGTTAATGATTCAAAATGACTTCTAAATGAATATAATCTAGTAATTTGCCAGATTTGTCTCCTTCCTTCCTCCCATCCTTCCTTCCTTCCTT